TCGTCCTCTTCCCTTTCCCTTCTTGATCGTGTTCAACGAAAGGCCATCCGGCTAATCGATGATCCTTCCCTACCATCCAGTCTACAGTCGCTAGCACATCGTCGGGCAGTTGCTTCGTTGTCCCTCTTCTACCGTTACTACTTTGGGTTTTGTTCTTCGGAACTTGCCTCGGCAGTTCCTCTTCCTGCAACTTTTACCCGTCCATCTCGTACACAGGCATCTAGTCATCCTCATCAGGTTTCTGTTCCCAGATGTCATATCTCTCGACTGCAATCTTCTTTTTCCCTCGAACTGCCAAACTGTGGAACACCCTCCCCCTTGTTGTTTCCCCCCAACTTACAATCTTACACTCTTTAAACGCAGAATCAATAAACTGGACCTTACGTGAATGTTCCTTTACTCTCACCTTACAGTATGCTATTTGCTTATGGGGATTTCCCCGTTTACTGTAATTTGCTTTGTGTAATAGTAATAAAAAAAGTTTGCATTAGCTGTTTATGAGACTAGTTTGAATAGGGAAGAAGTCATTGTATCCGCCCCATTAGAGGAATTACTGTTATAGGTCGAACTCACCGATTCTCATGGCTTCATTGCGTACCGCCTAAGGTTATGCTTGTGCCAGCTGTTCTCGATTTCTAGTTTTGGATTCGTTGTACAAACTGAAACTAATACTTAAGTAATCAATTCACATTATTGAGAGAAGGTCGTGTGTTATAAACGGTATATGGACGATATTTCAGTGTAAACGCATCGTCGGACATAAAGTAGTTGGGAGGAAACCAGCTAAGTACTGTATGATAATTAATAAATCAACAGATAGTTCTTGAGCAAACAGTTGTTGCAAGGGCGAGAGTTACGTAAAAGTTTGTATTGGGGTGGTACACATCAAGGTGGCAGCTGACAATCTGGTGTTATTGGTTCAATTATTATTCTGAACAGCCATTTCGGTGTCGGCCCTGCTGGGTTTTCCTAGGAAGCCTAGGTAGCTGCTTCGATATGCTTGTGGCTGTAAGTGACTTTTAGTCGTATAGATCGGTGCCTAGAACAGTATATCGGTTGATTGAAAATCGTTTGCTTTAGTGTGAGCTGATCACTCGCGCTAATCATAGGACATGAGTTCAGCTAGTGGCTCATCTTTCTGAACAGCCCTCAAGAAGCGTTTGTTCAATGAGAATGCGTGACTGTACGCAAGTTTTACGTTGACCACCAAAAGGTAGTATTCACTGGTAATCAGAATCAGATTGGCGTTCCTGGGCATTTGCCTGAGCCACAAACCGGAAGACTCTTTGCAGTGTTCAATGCATACCAAAATCAAGGTGCCAGTACTTCATTTTACTCTGCTTTGTATCACTAGTTAAATATAATCTTGCTCGGTACCGCGTGACAAGGCCAAAGGCGATTCGTACCAATACAATTTAAGGCTCCAGTTCCTAAAATATTCGATTGTCTACTGAACTGTGTCCAGAGAAATAAGGGACACCTACCTCATGGTCACATCTATATCGGAAGCTGTATGAATACTTCTCCACAACTTCCCCTGTGTGCCAGCCCAAAAGCGATTAGTGCATGCTTTTCACTCACTCCACACATTCCATGTTCTGATAAATCTCGACGATCGGATGAATGTACCAACAGTCTTTAGTCAGATGTGATCTTAATCTTTCATTTCACCTCAAGGTGGTCTCTGTTTTTTATATTGCTATGAGTTAGAATTTTTGTCATTAACTGAAGACGAGATTTTTCTTCACTTGAGGAATTATTTACCGTAATTTTTATGGCGGTTTTCGTTCGCAGAGCCTTAAATCTAAATCAACTACCGATCCGGATCCAGATAAAAGGGATTTTCTTCGCAAAGAGTCGGAGCGACTCATTGAACTGCTGAGCTCCGATGTGCCCCACGGTGAAGATCCGTTGGTTTATCTCATGCAACAGGCTCGGGACGCCATAGCAGATGTTCTGGATCAGGAATACGGTGCGTCCGTTACCGACCCGAAGATTTTTGATACGGTTGCCCGGCGATTTGAAGCGGAATTTCATGCGGACATGCTGGCTCTCAATGTAAGTGGGTCGCAATCTTCATAGAGACCGTAATAGAGTCCTAAATGCGTACATTCTCCATTTTTGCACTAGTCCCTACATTCCGGACGTCCAATCATAATACTTAATGAAATGAAATTTAGATTTTCTTTTTAGGAGAATTGTTCTCATTGCAAAATGGAATCTGATCAATCTCCTGAAGTTTCGCGCACTCATCATCATCTTTATTGGAAAATCTCTACCCATTCTCGGTCTTTACAACTGCACTCCCAACTAATCATGGGTCGAAGGATAAGTACAAAAACAGGGAGAAAACGAGAACAGTCGGATTTTGGGATAACAATTTTTTGTTTCCTTAAAACCGATGGAGACAGCCCTCTATGGTCAACACAGAGTACACAATCTAAATGTGCATACATAACTTTTCAAGCATTCTGACCTAATAAGAAATGTTAACAAGAACGCCACTGCTGCCGGTTAGTCGCCATATCCTTCAGTTTCTCCAACCAGCCAGTTGCAGAGCCTTTCGGACATCAACCTGGAAGACGGGAGATACCTACTCTACCTAATAGCTCTGTGCATTTCTTCATGTCTCACGTCATCTGTTGACCTCCACGAGGTTTCTTCCAACCTAGAGCCGCAACTGCGAATAGGGCGCGGTGCGGTAGACGACGACCGGGCATACGCAATACGTGTCCTAACCAGCGAAGCCGCCTGATCTGAATTCGATGAGACAATGAATCATTACCAAATACACCAGGCCTTGACTCCGAGTTGCTCACACTCTCGCTCCATCCAACCCGCGCCAAACTACGTGAGCATCGGCTGTCGAAGACTTCTGGACGACGAATAGATCCTTGGAGTCGCACATAAGCGACTGTTGACGGGGATCCAATCGAGGACTGCGGCGTCGGCTGTATTCAGTACAAGGCTCACGCCCCGCTGCCCTTCGCTATCATCTGATGTGCGGAGGAAGTACCTCGAAGAGAATTACGGTTCACTTAAGTGGCGTATAAGTTCTAGGATCCTGGGTTTGTGTCTCCGATGCACAGCAGACATCAATCCCCAAAGAGTCCATTGTACGCTCCAGGCACACTTGTTGGCGTACCTGCTTCACCGTCCTCACGTTGAAGGCCCCCAGATTGAGGAGCTGACGTGGCTTCATAATCTGCAATCTATTTCGTGGTAAACTAATTACAGCGCTATTAGGCAGCGAATTTTGACGAGCGAGGAACAACTTGTCTAGAGCAATGTTACGGATCGGAAGAAGAGGTNCTCGATGCAATGGGCAGCGCGGTCCTGATTATCCTGCGTCACGACCGATGCAGTATGGAATTATTTTTTGTTTTTGTATTCATTGCAGTTTGATGGGGCGTCCAGCCACTAAGCAGGAGAACAATTTGGGTTCTCATTCAAGCGTTTAATTCTGACAAGAGCCTAATCGCAGGGCAGCGGATGAAGCAAAGTGGAGGCCCATTTACCTGGATCGATCGCCTCTCTATCATTTTACCGACTGGGAGGCTAACTCGAGTAGAACCCCCAACCCGCAGGACCTCTACTCTCTGATCTTCCGGGTATGATAAGAACTTTTGACTTGATAAAACCATGCTGTATAGCTCGTTGGGCGATATAGGTGCACACGCCATCACATTACGTCGAGGTGCACTCTCGTCGTGATGGATATTTTACAGTGTTGCCTACTGTCCAATGGCTTCATGATTTATGCCCATTTTTAGCGTGCTTTTTCATGAAAAACAGTAGTAATATATCTGTAGCCTTGGTATTAATAATCTTTGGTGGTAGATGGTACAAAATGGTTTCATAGTGACTCTGAAACTTGTGAATTCGTGATTTTGTGGATAGCCTCATATCTTGGTTGTATCTCTGCTTAATAATGTTTTAATTGTTATTCTGCATCACACATTTTCTGAGTACTTTTCTTGAATTATTTTTAGTATAATTTTCGGAATTTCGAAAGATCGCATGGCGTTTTTAGATTAGTTGCAATTGCGCATTGTTGATTCAATATTTTCAAGAGTTCTGAAATTTTCGTGGTAGGTCCTCGAACCAGATTTGTTGGTTCGCGTCACGGAATTCATCAAACCAATTACAGAATTCGTGCAAAAGATTGTTGACAATGGCTTTGGGTAAGTCGTTATGCTCCAATAATCGCGATCAAAGTAATTTGTCTTTATGCATACACTGAGAGCTCGATAACTTGGAGGAGTCGAGAATACTGAATCGTCCCGATATAGGTTCACTAATCGGTTTGGGTTTTGATCGGTTTGAAAATTGACTAATCGGATATAGGAAACCGTTTCATAAAAATAATGAAAGTTATGATAAAATTTTCATGTTGCATAATGTTATATACTTTACTCGCACATGAGAAAAAGTACCATAGATACTATCCGCAATGTAGGACTATTGTACCGACAATTCAAAGCCTCAACGTTTGGGTCACTGATTTTCCTTTTACATTGCTCATTTGTATTGGTTTACTTACCTTTCAGTGATTCATACCGTACTGTGATAATAATAATTTAGATAACGACTTAGATCAAGATACTCATATTCAAGCAGTCTGTTCTCATGGTAGTGTGCTTGATATAATTTTTTATGCCGGATCGCATTTACGTTTTACTTCCTAGAGTACGGGTTGAGTCGAGCGTAGAGTAAACAAGTTTGTACCGCTGTTTGTACCGATGTACGGCTTACATCTCCAAACGGTGAACTGACATCACTGAATTCCAAACTTCTCAATAAGAGGTGTACGAACTGACTGTTTAAACAATTGCTTTCACATACCGCCCCTCTTTCATTCGGGTCAGGCCTTGGTCCGTTATGAATCCCCCTAATTTGGCCTGGGCGATTTGAAAGTATTCCGCCCGCATGAACTAATTTCTTTATGATAAAATTTTGTACCGTGATTTGTCGGGTGCAGTTTGGACTCAATCAAGTGCAAACTATATAAAAATCCACGAATGACAAACAAGAGTAACGTGCTATATGAATGACAATACAATATCCTGTACCACAGAACCGGTTACGTGGACTTCATCACGTATACACAATGTGACTTTCATGTACATAACTGGTCGTTTATTTGGTTAAAATACCACTGGTAGACACTATTTGCCTACACTCCGTTCATGTTGGTTTAGCTCAGTCATCATCGTCATTATCGTCAAACGAAATATAGTTGAGCGAACGTCACTGATCGCTGCCAAACTCGCATTGCATACAAAGTTATTAGTAATATTTAATGATATATATATATATAATTGGACCTGTTTTTAGGGATGCGAAAGAAAGTGATCCTCTGTGGTCAACATAGAGTACACGGTCGAACTGTGCATACCGTTTCGAGCATTCTGACCAGATAATAAATGACAGTAAAAATGCCACTGCTGTCGGTTAGTTGCCATATTCTTCAATATCTCCAAACAGCCAGTTACAGGGTCTTTCGTACCCCAACCTGGAGGGTGTCAGACACCTACTCTACGTAATGGCTCCGTGCATTTCCCCATGCATCATCTGTTGACCCCCACGTCGTTTCCTCCAACCCGGAGCGGCTACAGTGAATGAAGCATGGTGCGGCAGACGACAGCTGAGCATACGCAATACGTGCCCTAGCCAGCGAAGTCTCCTGATCTGAATTCGATAAACTTCCAATCACACAGCGGCTTACCTCCAGATTAGTAACCCGTTCGCTGCATCCCATGTGGGCCAAACTGCGTAAACACCGATGGTCGAAAACTTCTAATCGATGGATATCTTCTCGCAAATTGAAGGTCTCAACCATTAGGCAAAACAGAACGAACACCAGCACACTAAATACGACTTTTCTTTTTCAACGAAACGTCGCGTCTACACCAAAGGTGTTTCAGTCCTGCGGACGATGCTCGAGCATGCGGGTATCTTCATTGATACCCTTCCGTCATTAGTCACGCAACTGCCTTAAGGGTCAAAGCATTCCACCATAACTAATTCCAAAGCAGGAGTAGGCGACATTCAGTCTCGTAGCATCACTTTGCACTTTGAAGTTGCAAAGTGCATAACAAATGGAGTTACACAACCTGAAAGTCTGTTGAGAGCGGTTTGTGCATCTTCCATACATTCGAACAGCATCATCAGCGCACAGCTTTTCTGCCGCTGTCCATTCAGTACCTACGTTTTCGAGACCACTTAGTGCGTTCTCCGTTACTTCGTCTACGACGAAGTTCAATAGAAATGGCGAAAGAAGGCACGAACGCCGCTGAGGGTAACGAAGAACTCACTAAGTTCGTTATAAACCCTCACTCTACCAGAAGTATGTGAGAACAGTAACCTCAGTGAGTTAACGTTCTTCCGGGGCATTCCGTTTCGTGGAAGGGAACCCACTAGAGCTTCACGATCAACTGAGTTAAAGGTCAAGGATCACTGCCATCCTTGGTCGACGGTGAGTGTGACGAAACTCAAGGGCATGACGCAACGTAAAAACTTGCTGAGTACATCCACGGCCAGACCGGAATTCGGCTTGCTGTTCACGGATGTTGGTTTCTCTTAAAGTAGTCAGATGTCGAAGTAAGATCAATTTTACGACTCTGCGTTGCAAGGTCTCTTCTTGATAATGGGAATGATCAATGATTCACCCCAAGACGAAATAGCCCGCTGTTGAGTTCAAATGTTGTGCAATGATCTAGTAATAGAGCTTACGACAGTGTCACTCTGCATCCTGAACAGAGTGGGAGGGAGCCCGTTCGCTCCGGTCGCCTTTCCTCGCCTCAGAACTCGAAAGCAAGACCGATTTCTGCTTCTGCTGGAGGATCGTACGACACTACCCACGTAGCTTCAGT